TATTTACGTGTGCGTTTGTGTGTGTGTGTGTGTGTTAAGGCTCGGAGCAACAAATTGATTGGCGTGTATACCAGCGCGCGCGTAAAACTCGGGCTATTATATCACGCACACTAACGTAAACGGGACGATCGTAAGGTACACACCTGACTTAAGGTGCTTGGGTATAGAGGCGTGCGTGGGTGTATAAGTATAAGGAACACGCGTAAAAACAAAGTACGCCAGCGCGAAAAATTAAACTTTCACGACTCGCAGTTGTATTACTATAACAAAGACGCGAGCGATAGTATGACGTACGTAGAGCTCTCATCGATATAAAATAACGTAAAGCACGGCACAGCACACCTTTGTGTGCGTAACGTATAAGGACTTTTCCTTCCCTTTTTTTTTCTTATACGCCTGCGGAGCGCGCGACACGCAATAATTTAGTCGATTGATAATAAAATCGTAATGTGCCGCAGTGCGTGCGTGTGTGTGTGTGTGTGTGTGTAACTGTGTAACCGCTGCGGCGACTCGATCGCGATACACACTCGCGAAGCTATATATATTATAATATGAAAATAAGGTGCTTGGCTCGGCTCGGCTCGATGCGTGCGCGCGAATAAAATACACCGCGACCTCGGGCACGCGCTCGCGCGCAAAAGCCGTAGATAGCCACCGCCGTTGCCCGCTGTCGCCGCCTTAAATCGAGCTTATATAGCTAGCGCGCGCGATGACCGGTGAAAGTCCGCGCCGCGCGCGAAAGTGACTTTGTAGCGAGAGACACGGACGCCGAGTCGCGTATATAAGTTAGATATAAATATAGAAAAGGGCTGTGACGACTGCGACGACGACGAGATACATTATACATATACGATATAAATTTTGGCGCGCTTACTGAAAACGGAGCTGCGGTACAGTTGCATCGCAAGCTCAGGTATGTATATGTAAGCTCGGTGAGAGAGATCGGCTAAGCGGCCTCAGCACCACCGCCGGAGCTTTTTGCAATTTTACATATATTATTTTATTCAGCGATGCGTATTCATAGATCGACCACGATAAAGATGTGTGTATGTGTGTACGTAAATTAAAGAGACTATATTTATACATATAATACGGTGGCGTGATAGTAGTAGTGCTACGGGTGAAGGACGCCCTACTGCTGCTTGCTATATACATGTATACACATATGGACTGCTGCGCGCATACCACACACGATAATTTGCGACCGAATGTGGGTCGCAATTCTTATATACCACTGCTGCTGCTGCTGCTGTTGCGGGAGGGTTAGTAGTAGTAGTAGTAGTAGTATAGGTACTTTTTGCTCGGCGCCGTTGCGATCATCATTTTCGCGGATGAATTAGTTGTTGCATCGCATCCGCGCCTATTATATACTTACATATAATACGTATGCAACTCTCTCTAATACAAAATCGATGCGCCCGCGAATGTGTTTCGCCGATTTATATATATTACAGCTGTTACGTGTGTGTGTCTAGTCTGCGCGCGTATCTACTGTATACGTTTTTTTTCTCTCTCTCTCTGTTTTCGGCCCTGCACGAACGAACGAACGAACGGAGAAGGCCTCGAAAACCGACGCTCAATAAGAGAGAGAGAGAGAGACTATTTGCTCCCGATTTACTTTTCGTACACTACATCGGGTACTAGAGGGATACGTGTGCAGTTGTTATATATATCGAACCGAGAGAGAGAGAGAGAAACAAATGCCCCCGCGAATGTAGACCATGCCGCGCGCGAGTAGCCCTACATCGCGGCTATAAGCTACTATAGATATCGTCTATATGCACACATGCACACGTATCCTACAGCCGATGACGACGATGCGCACCGCCTATATTATAGCCCTATACTAGCCGCTTGCCATATACTTGACATAATCGCATTCGAGCTGTACATCCTATATATGGTCAGTCACTGCTCGGGCTTTAAATATGGTCGTATAACATAGAGAATCACGACAGACAGAGACAGAGTGACGGTATATAAATTACATAGGGCTCTTGAAATATACGCGCGTGTGTGTGTGTGTATGCAGTTTCTATTCCAGTCGTCGTGTCGTGTCGAGTCGTCGTCGTCGCGCTAAAAATAACGAGGCTCGAGGCTATATATGATGAATGTGCCCGCAGCAGAAGCAGCAGCAGCAGCAGCTGATTATCTATCTAGGCAGCGGGCGATTGAACTTGCATGATGTTTCTAATATTTAAAAAAAAAAAGAGAGAGAAAATGGGAGCGCGACGAGGATTGTTTTTTTACGACGATCGATAAGCCGGCTCGATAATTATACGATGTATATATGGTATAAAAGGCGCGCCGAATCTATAAATAAAAATGCTCTGGCTATTATATAGCGCGCGCACAGGTCGACTGTATATACCTAGTACCGCGCGACGATCGTCATTAGCGAGTCTCGAGTTATATACTTTAGAGAGCGCGGGCGGGCGGGGGGTTGAAGGGAGGGGGCGTCATCGATTACCGCTGTACACGTTACGTTGACGCTATTTTACCCTACACACACATACATATAGCCCTTCGTGCGGGCAACGACAATGCAACGTACGATCTGTATATATCTGTATGAATGCGTTTACGTTATACGGTACGGTGGTGGTGTCGGATGCGGCGGCGGCGGCGGCGGCCGCAGCCTGGCGCGCAACAGCCCGCTATATCCTTCGGCCGTGTCGCTCTCATAATACAATCGAGATCGAGAAACGTATCTCCGTCTGTGTGTGGCGGCGGAGGTGCATTATAAAATGGACCCTTCTGCCGTCGCGCTCGGCATTGTGTGTAATACACATAGGAGCGCGATCGCTGTATGCTGTATGCGGACGGACGGACGGACGGACGGACGGCAGGAGAGGAGGAGGATGTTTCGAGCTCGACGCGTATACACCGACTGATAAGCTCGGCTTCTATATGCTGCTGCTGCGGCAGCAGCTCTCGGACACGATCGTCGAGTTGCATCGATATATACCTATATAGACTACGTCCAAGAGAGAGAACGGAGATATGCAGTTTATGCGTTGCTGCTGCTATATATGAGCAATTCTCTAAATGAAACGCATTTTTGGAGGTAGAATCGCGGCAAATTTTTTTTTTAACCTACGCGGATACGGACCCCCGGGAAATGTTTTTGGGGGTCCTAGGAACATGTAACCACGTAGGAACCATTGAAATTTCGATAGTGCTTATTTTTATAGCTACTTTTGTGATTTAGAGGACGAAAAATCATGTTTTCTCGTAAATACGGCTAATTACTCAATTTCTAAGTCGCTGAAAAAGTATCAAAACTCATCTAAAAAAAATAACTGACTACTGTGTTCGATAGGAAATTTTCTCAGCTTTCCAATGGTGGTATCAGATTTTCCGATAAATTGCACATTCACCGAGAAAATCACCATCACACATTGAGGGCTAAATATGTCGAAAAATTCAGTACGGAAAAAGTGAACTTTTTGGATAATTGTTGATTTTTCCTTGTGAAAATGAAATTTATCGAAAAATCTGACTACACCATGAGAAAGCCAAAGAAATTTCCTATCGAAAGCATATCTTTATTTATTTTTTCGGTGGAATTACAATGTTATACATGGGAATTTCTTTCACGTTGTTCGCTGTTTTCTGTTTCCGAGCTGATTCAGCGCGGTCGCGAGGTTTTCGGCTCGCTACAATCAAAACTAGCTCGTAATTCCACCGAAAAAATAAATAAAGATATGCTTTCGATAGGAAATTTCCTCAGCTTTCTCATGGTGTAGTCAGATTTTTCGATAAATTTCATTTTCACGAGGAAAAATCGAAATTAAACCTCAAAGATCACTTTTTCCGTACCGAGTTTTTCGAGATATTTAGCTTGGCATGTTTGATGGCGATTTTCTCGGTGAATGTGCGACTTATCGGAAAATCTGATACCACCATTGGAAAGCTGAGAAAATTTCCTATCGAACACAGTAGCCAGTTATTTTTTTTAGATGAGTTTTGATACTTTTTCAGCGACTTAGAAATTGAGTAATTAGCCGCATTTACGAGAAAACATGATTTTTCGTCCTCTAAATCACAAAAGTAGCTATAAAAATAAGCACTATGGAAATTTCAATGGTTCCTACGTGGTTACATGTTCCTAGGACCCCCAAAAACATTTCCCGGGGGTCCGTATCCGCGTAGGTTGAAAAAAAAATTTGCCGCGATTCTACCTCCAAAAATGCGTTTCATTTAGAGAATTGCTCATATATAGTAGATGTACCTCATCATGCCCCCGTGCGCAAAACTATCCACTGCCCCGCCGGCCGTACGAGCTATATAAGCTACCGTTCGGAGATTTCGAGCTGAAGAATTTCATACTTGCACCACCACCCCCCGCAGCTTTAATATCCCTCGATCATGACGACGACGATGACGACGATGATGATGATGCGTTATAATGGGCATACCTCGCGCGTGTATACATCCGCGATACAGTCGATAAATTTTACGATCTCGCAAACGTGATATACTTTTTTTTTTATGTTATATACGCAATCTGTGTGTAGACCGTAGACCTAAATCGTTGTTTAGTTTTTTATCAGGCTATATTTTTTGCATCCCTCTCCGTCTCTTTCTTTCTTTCTGTTTTACTATCTTCTTTACTTTTTTTTTTTTAATTAAAGCCTACTACCAGCTAGCTAGCTAGAGCAGCAACACGCTCGAGTTGTTATTTCATCGGGTAAAAAATGTGTGATTAATTAAAAAATTGATTCCATTCCCAATATATACATATACAACGCGCTACTGGCTGTATATAGTAGAGAGATATATAATACATGTCAGCATATTATAAATTGCGCACGCCAAGTAACGAATGAGATAACGAGGCTGCTACACAGAGGCACGCGCGCGTATACAGTGGCATGCCGCATACTCACACACACACACAAACACATCGTTATGCAATATACACGCGCGCGCGCAAAAAAAATAAAAAATAAAATGAAAGCGGGGTGGAAAAAAAAAAGGTTGAAAATTTGGCTTACTTTTTAATCGCGCCGATCTTGCTAGCTTCCTCATCCAAAATCTGCTGAGAGCTTCCGATACCTGCAACGTACAATACAAATGGAAATTAAAATCTCGTTATATATAGATGTTGATAAAAAAAATGGATGTTTTTAATTCGATGTTGTTTTTTTTTTTATCGCATAGGTATCTGGATAATCCTCTCTGCCCTCTCCCCCGCACACTCGGCTCGCTCGACACCGATCGCCGCTGCGCCGCCGTGAAGTGGATCGCATCGCTTTAAAGGATGGGAAGGCGCCTGCTGCACTACCACGGTAGTATCTCACGCTCGTCGTCGTCATCGTTATTATTATCCTGCGACAGCGGCAGCAGCAGCGCCAGGACATCTTGACGAACGAGTGAATAAAAAAAAAAGAAGAAGTATATATAAAGCGAGCCTTGGGATCGAGCCAAGGCAGAGAGAGAGAGACAAACTAGAGGGGAGGAGAGAGAAGCCTCCCTGCGTCGCAGAGCAACCCGAGAGCTGCCTGCCAAGCGACTATGAAACGACTGGGGATCCTTACGGCCGTCCATACAGCCCAGGTGTTGAATCGCAGCGCGACTACGACTACGACTACTACTACTACGATAAAGAGTACGACTGCGTCGACTTCTACTACTGCCAGTGCTGACGCTGGTGCTAGTCAGACTCAGACCACCACTAGTACTACTGGGATACCGTCGGTGCTACTGTCGAATGTCGTCGCGGCTCATCAAGACAGAGGCGGCCGGGATCTCATCTACAACAACATGTCGAGCAATATACGCAACGGAGGCGGTGGCCGATTCGAGAGCGATCTACACGGCAACGTCAACATATTGCTCGGCGGGTACGATGATGATATTGTATACTTTTTTTTTAATTCGTTCCCTTTTTTTTTTTTTTTTGGTAAAGAGAGAGAGAGAGAGAGAACTGCCCATCATGCCCCTTTCGCCTCCTGCACAAATGAAAGCTTATACACGCGTGTATACGCACAGCGAGCAAATTAATCAATTGCGTACTTTGATCCAGTAGCTGTACTTTGATCTATTTCGAGCTGCTGCTGCAACGAAACGCGATAGGAGAATATTCGACTCGCGCGCGCGCAGGCAATTAAATGCACACACGTCGAGTACTAAAACCTCGTTGTAGAACGTGTGTGTGCGTAAGTTATCGACGTTGATGATGATGCTACAACAAAAGCCCATAAAAATTTCCATGTAGCGCGGCACAAAGCCGTTGATGATATACACTGTACATTGTACGTCGTCGTCGCGGCCCTCTATTATATTCGCGCCGCGCGCCGCGCATTAATTGATCGCACACGCGCGTTTAAAAGCTGAAAAGAGAGAGATTGACTTATATATATCGACCCTGCTGTGCAGCAGCGTCCCATTATTATGCAACTGCACCGGGGCCGATTGTTACGTAAATTTAATAGCATTTTCTCTGCTCTCTCCGCTCGTTCGCGTGCGCGCGCGATTATTATTCGTCGCGAATATAATTTTTTTTTCTTTTCGCTCCTTGTTCTTGCGCGCGCGTTGCATCGAGCAACGAGAGCCGAGCAAGCGAGCGAGAAAAAAGCGCGGGGGTAGTTGGCGCGCGCGCATTTGAATTCCCCGAGTTTTGAGAATTCAATTGAATATATAGAAAGAGAGCTGGATATATATATTCGAGCGAGTGGACTCTCGCCGCTCGCTGCGCGAAACGCCAAAAAGTAAAAGGAGCGAGAGAGAGTAAAAAAAATATAGAAACGAAACGCCAACTCGTACACGGGTTAAAATCTCATCACCTCGGCGGCGGTGGCGAGAGAGAGAGAGAGGATACGAATAGAATTATTTCCGTAGCTGGAGCGAAAATTTTCGTATACTTATAATCCCACTCTCGCTCGTTTTGCGCCTGTACGCGACGACGACGACGACAAAAAAAATAAAATAAGTATATGAAAAAAAAAAAGAAAGAAAGAAAAAAAAAGGTGAGAAAAACTCGACCTCATACCTAAAAACTCTCGCAGTTTCTTTTCACGCGAGCGCGCGCGCATTGTTTCCTTTTTTTTTCTCCCTCTCTCTCTTTACCTCTTTTTCCTTATATTTTATTCGAGCGCTATCCTTTACATCGAACTAACGCGCGCTCGCGCAAATGCGAGGCAAGGCAAAATCTTTTTGAATAATATTATGATAGGGCACGTACCTGTACGTATACATACATACGTGTGTATGTGTGCGGTGCACGCCGCATTGAATGGGTTTATTTTCGACTCTAAAATAAACTAAATCTCTCGTGTGTGCGAATGCGCGCGTAAATGTTTTTCACTTTCTAGCCACCAGAAAGTTGTGTGTCGTGTTTCATATGACTCGAGAGCAGCAGCAGCAGCTACAGCGAGCGAAGCGTTTGAAATATTCACATCCCGGCAATAATGACTTGAATTCGAAATTAAAAGTTTTTCGATAAATTGTCGGTATTTATAGAAAGATCTCTCGCGCCGAAGAGAAAATATAATTCATTCCTCCTCGAAGCGTATAAAATGTAAAAACTTTTTTTTTCGTGTCAACTCTCGCGCGCTCAAATTCAATTCCTTGCAAATATATTTATGGAAAAAAAAGTGGAGTACATCTGTTTCCCTGGGACGAACAAAAAAGGAGGCAGAAGAAGCGGCAGAAGCAGCTCATTATCATGCGACCAAGTTTTCAGTTAGTTTAAGAATACTTACGGAATTATCATCACAATAATTCGCGACTTGGCCTTAAAATTATTCAAAGTTTTTCTTTTCTCAACAATAACGTGTATAAGTCTCTTCCCTCCCGCTTCGCGCACGCACTTATACGGTCGAAAACTTTCGGGGGGCAAAAGTTTTTCCGTATCTTTTCAAAATTATTATCACTCGTTTATCGATGGAAAATTATCGTCAAACTAGTGGGGGGTCGGCGATATAGCCTCTCATAATAACGGGCAATTATGAAATTAGTTTTTAGTGCTGCCCCCCGTTGCCGGGCCGCGCGGCGTCGGATTTCTCTAATTGAAAGATAATTGCAAATGCTAGATGAATATATAACTAATTTTCGCGAAAAATGAGACCACCACGCTACTCGGGAGAACAATTTAATCACTAGAAAAGCGCATGCAAAAGAGGAGAGTGAGAGAGAGAGAGAGAGAGGAACGTGGCGCAAATGAGTCGAAAAAAAAGAACCACCCGCGGGAAAAAAGCGCGCGCGCGCATTCAACAATTTTTCATGTAGGGTAGCGGTATAGCTAGCAGAGAGAGTGCAGCTTGAAAATTCGGAAGACTGTGGATTTTATATTTTTCGTTTTTCGCCCAACCCCCCTACCCGAGCTCAATAATGTTACTTTTTGTGTGTGGGTGTGTGTGTCTCTCTAACTAGGTACGAGATTCATTAAATACTTTTATGCAAAGTGTACCACTTGGGTTTGCAGAGAAAAAAAAGGAATCATCTCGCTTTGATAAATCAACAAATGTAATACGTAGGAGTTAAAACAAAAAACGTTTCATAAAAAAAGAAATTCGGGGTAGCGGAGAATTTTCCCCCGCGACATTTTTATTTTAATTTTTCCCTCTTTTGACTTAATAGCGAGAGAGAGAGAGTGCGCACTCTGGCGAAAAAATTTTCACCCGTCATCCCCGCTCGGGTGATTTATAGATTTTCAAACACACACGTATAGCTCTCTCTCTCTCTCCGAGAGTTTTACAACACACGAGAGCTTTAAAACAAAAAGTGGATATCCCCGGTGCTCTAAGAAAAAAGGCAAATCGACGCGCGCGCTACGGGTGGCTGTCTTTATATCGTCATAAGTGTGAGTGTGCGCGATTCCATAAAAAAAGGAAAAGAAAAAAGAACTTGCATTATCTCGGCGCCTGCTGGCCGAATTCATATAATTTTATTTTCTGATTTTTATGGTAAAAAATAAAAAAAATACGCGCTACCACGTATGTCGGGCACGGAGATAAGCCTAGTTTCCTTCCTTCTTCTTCTTTTTTTTACTGCACTTTTAACACAATATATAGAAAAAAAAAGGGAAAAAGAAGGGTAATGTTGGAGTAGCCGAAATCGAAGGCATTATTCGCGGGGTACTACGAAAATTTTCTCGAAAATTACACACATTCGCGCAGCGATTTTCTTCCCCAAAACGTTTAGCTCGCGAACGCGGAGGGACTATAAAAGAAGCAAGAAAAAAATGAAAAGAAAGAAAGAAAAGGTCGAGCGCGCCTACATATAACCGCGTATCCCGCGAATATATATCGAAATCGTCGGGTTTATACTATCAATCCCTTTAATAATACGTGCGCATGCACACGCTTCGATAAGGAACGTATTGCGTATACACTCGGCAGTCGTCGTGTATTACGTCTCTCTCTCTCGTTCGCCTTATTCGCTCTATTTCCTGCCTCGTCGTTTCTCCATTTCCTTATATACAGTTTCAGCCGGATGAGGATATATATATAGGCAGGCAGAGGGACAGGGACGTATACGACACGATCGGAAGGACGAAAAATGTCGATCGATCGATTTTCATTGCGCCTTGAGCTGTGTAGCGTAGTAGGAGATCGTCGTCGAGAGTCCAAGTCGATGTTGATCATCGCATAAAGTGGTTACTGCTGCGACATACGTACACATATATCTATCTGTATGTAGGGTATCCTTAGACGTATATATACACACGCGACCGATCGCTGCAACTCGTATCCTATATATCTGCCTCAAGTGACACGAGTAAACGCACACGAGGGGATTAGATGACGTATATATATGGAATACCTATATATATATGCCCGTAAAATGTACGAGAGGGACAATCGTGGCTCGAACTATTCGAATGTTAGACACGGCCGGGCCGCCGCAGACTCTGCAGGGCTACTCTACTAGAGCTTGAGCCGAGAGCTGAGCTGAGCCGAGCCGAGCTGCGCGCTTGAGGGAGGCGGCTAAATTCATGCGAAAATGATTGCCACATGTGCTACACGCACAGTGGTGCACCCGCAACTACATATTCATTTGCCATTATAGATATATAAAGTTGGGCTGTATGTACGCGCGTGTGTGTGTGTGCCACTGGGTCAGATCGATTCGTTGCCGCAAACTATTTGCATGAACGTTCGGTAATCGGGTATATGTATAAACGCGCGGAGGGAAAATCAACATCGCATTTTTCCCCGAAAACAAATGTGAATTTGGCTGTGTTGGAAAAGTGTTGCGTTCGCGCAATTTCACGCGCGCACAATTAACAGGCAGGCGCGCGGCTAATAATCGAAACTCGATCTACATATCTTCGAAATACGAGTTTTTCAGCTCTCTTTCAATACAAACGCGCGCGCAGAATTTTCACGCATACTTCCGCGAGACGGGATATTGCCATTTTCGGCATTCCCCGCGTTATGCATACAGCAGCTCCCCGTGCGTGCGCGGGGGGTAGGAAAATCTTGCCAAGATTGTTAAAATACAATTCATATTTCCGCGTGTATAAGCTGCGGCAGCAGCAGCGATCCCCGCGAGATACGCGCGTACTTGCGTATTTATACATCCCACACACGCACTCGCGAATGCGATAAATAATTTTCGACGAGGTATACGTATATATACGGTTTTGGGGGGCTGGTGGTGGTGGTGAGCTTGTAACACTGCAGATTTCCTACGTCGTGTCGTCGTCGTCGACGACAGTCGCGCGCGCGGAGGGGCTTTACATAATGCATTTTGATTACATGTACTAGACGTTTCACGCACACACGTGTGTGGGTGCTGACATTTGTAACGCGCAAAACCTTATTTAAGCATCTCTCTCTCTCTCTCTCGACTCTCCCAAAAGTTCACTTTGCCGCGCGCGTAATCGCGTACTTAATAATGACGCAGCTGCAGCGCCCGTGTGTATATTTTATTATATACGGAGAGAGAGAGCAAGATTTGCCCTGCGACGTGTGAAAATACACCACGCGCGTTGACCCGTGCAGCAGCAGCGGCTCTGCTAAAATCCTGCGATAACCCAGTTTTTTTATTATTAAAATGTGTAAAACATGTATTTTTTTTCTGCTTATATATATCACCGTTTGCACACAGGGCCATGCTCGGAGGAGTGATAATGATCGTGTTCTTCGTCTGCTACTGCTGCCACAAGAGCATAAGGAAGAATCGGCCGAGCGAGTACTCGCAGTACTGGCGCACCGAGCCCGACATCAACAGCCTCGAGGTCTACACCATGGATTCGCACTCGATGGTATATATATTCGATTCTTACTATTTTATTGTATACTCGTTCTATAACGAAACAATTAAGATCGCGAAGTGTGGAAAAATCAATTACGCGTCGTTACATTCGAGACCATTCGATTGATAAATCGAAGTACGATACTTACTGCCTAATTGAGCGAGCTCGATTAAAATTTATATCACTTTTCATTTATGAATATTTCTCTATAGCCTCGAGTAGCAGCAGAGAAAGAGAGAAAAATTTAGAGATTCATACAACGGCTCGAGTTAATTCACTTTTATCCTTTGAATGAATTATTTATATCTCGCTCGCGCGGGCGCGCGGCAAAATTTCTAGACCATGACGCGCCTCTGCAGGGGGCGCGATATATATGGGTTATATATACGTACGCGGCAGGTATTTTATTGCTTACACTAGCTCATTGAACTTAGCCCCGGGTTTAAGCTTCTTAGTCAATACGTCACATGTGTCCTCTAACGCGTCCCATATACGGACTAGACGTATAGACGTGCTGCACATCCATCATATATTACGAGGTGTACTTGCATTGATTTATGTATCAGCGTTTACGCCGAGCCGAGTGGTACATAATACATATCCACGTGCTGCATGACGTGCTCGAGTGATTTCTTCCTTTTCAAAATAACTCAAAAAAGTATTTCTCGAAATATAAATATTTGGATTTGTATAGAGAAATTTTTCGCTCTCTTACGTATATACGATGTTCGAAGATGAATGGGATGAAAAAAAGTAGTAGACGTACGTACGGAGATAGAGGGTCGAGGGGGGGAGTGAGAGCAGCACGCGATGTGTTTTACTGACCTAATTTGATTGAGGCCCCTGCGAGCTAAAAAGTTTATAACGTTTTCCAGACGCGCTCTCCGAGATTTCTATGTACTAAACGGGCGCGAGCTTTTTTATAATATATAAATATTGATACGAAAAGTCTTACTTTTTGCAATGACTTTGATACACACTCTCGACTTGGCTCGAACTTGCGTGCGATATAAAATTCACTTTTCGACGAGAATCGCGAAATAATTTACTTTGAAAATCTCCCCTTCGCAAAGTTTCGAAATTGACTCCGTTATATCCCTTGACTAACGATAATATAAAATATCAACTCGAACTTTCGCAAAGTTACATGTAAAATTAACGTTATCGCCGAGGGTGGGGTGGTAGAGTGGCTCGTCGATATAATAACTCATTTTCTTACGCGTGCCCTCATTGATAATAATAAAAGAGGTATATAACTGAGCTGCTCTCTGGTGCTTTTGGTTTGTTTCACGCTCGCTCGCTCACGCGCCAGTGCTTCGACCGTAACGCGATATCGTTGGGCCACCAAATCGTGCCGGAGGAGCTTCATCATCATCATCATCATCATCAAAGCGCCGCGGCAACTGCAGCCAACAGCCTGTCCAACAGTCTGCCCGCTCGTCCTTTGACACCGGGACCGCCGCCGGCTTACGAGAGTCTGATTTTCAAGCCGGGGGGCGCCGCCTCCGCCGCCACCACCGCCTCGTCGCCCTCCGACAAGAAACCCGAGCCGGCCTCTTTGTCGCCGCTCAGCTGTATTCTGCCAGTGCCCGACGACGAGCAGCAGCAGCAGCAGCAGCAGCAACAAGAGCAGCAACAAGAGCAGCAACAGCAGCAGCATCAGCATCAGCACCACAGTAGCAGTCTCAAAGAGGTGGAGAGCCGAAGAGAAGACGAGGGATTGCCCACGTACGAGGCTGCGCTCAAGCTCGAGGCGCACGGCTACGTTTAATGCGATACCTCGAATGCTGCGATACTCGTGGAAGCAACAAAAACGACAACAGCAACCACAAAAACTTTGACCATTAAACCAATGAGCTAAAACTAAAAGTGAACATTTAAACTATTCGTCGCTTGGCCTAAACGTCGACTTTATACGTGTTTAAACGATTACAACAACAACAAAAGAAACTTGTAAATATAACTCTATGGATCAATATCTCGTTTATTTATTTCTAAATAATATATTCATCTATTACGACGTAAGATAAGGTTTCAAAGTAAGCAATAAGCTTTGATTGTTAATTCTAATCTTCTGATCATTTGTTTTTCAATAATAATAATGGGCAGAAACATAGTAGCGAATTTTTAATCGATTCGTTTGTTAAATTACAAAAAAAAAATAACAGGGTATCAAATATACTATACTTTTTTCGTTTCTCATTAATTAACTTCTTTTGAACAAAAAATTTATTTTCATATACTCCAACGGCTGAATTGTTATCGAGAATTATGTATATATGTATAGAGAATAATAATCAATAAAAAAAAGTATAATCTAGAGCTAACAAACGTGTTTCGAATGTATAAAAGAAGGAAAATGTTTTTTGTAAGTTGTTGTTTCGAGAGAGAGAGAGTTATTTTCTTCGGGCGAAAATGCCTAGCGGCTTTAATAATCTCCATCGTACTTTCTGAGCCAGTTAATTAAATATCGCCTGCGTATAAAATAATTACACGTGATTATCTGGAAAAGTTTTTGAGTATGTTAAGCACGCTGAAATGATGTTCAATTACTTGCTCAAGAAATTTTTCGTTCCGACAAGTTCGTTTTAATTTTTCAATTATGCACGGTTTGATTGGAAGCGATGTTATGTGATGCACAGGGTTTAGTAATCTAATCATTATTGAAGTTTTAAAAGATCGAAGAATCTCAATGAGAAAGAAGAAAAAAATATTGTCGGACTAATTGAATTCATTATTAACGTTTAAGACAAATTTATTCGTAAATTATGATAGTGGGAAAATACCAGAGAGAAACTTCGACATTCATGTACAAAAACTATTTTATGATTGTTATAGTTATATTGGGTAATAGTTAATTGGCATTTGTCCAATTTATAAGCTATTTGTAAAATTGTTTAAAAATCCACGATAATCTGTAAAATAGAAATACAGAACTTCATTCATGCAGTCGATTATATTTTGAAAATATTCAATAATTTCTCATGTAACGCAAACAGATACATCTTTTGTCATACATTTTTCGTATCACGATTTTCATTTTCTGCCATATCATGGTAGAATATGACTTTCCAGTGGGGGGCGCTGGTAGTAAAACTGTTTATGTACAAAACTATAGATTCCATTCCAATGTTAGCTATCAGTAGAAGATAAAAAGTACGTGGGTAAAACATCGATGCATAGACGTTGTGCAGTGACCGCGTCGTACAAATCGATGTCTTGGCATTTTCAGTAGATAATGCAGAAATCTATGAAACTGGGTGGTGCTCTCTTGCACTTCGAAACGAAGTTCTCGTCTCACGATTCGTAAATGACCATGAACGATTTAGAAAAGCACAAAGCCAAAAAAAAGTTGTTATTATAAAAAAAAAAATTAGAAAAAAAAGACAGGATTGAAAAATGTAAAATGTATTCACCAAAATGTCAGAAATACATCGATCGATAGCTGGCTGATCTCTAATCTAACATTTTCTGTAAAAAATGTTGTTACATACTTTATATTCTACGTCATTTTAATCATAAGGTATAAATGTTTCCTGAGAAGTCTTGATTGTCATTGTGCTATCTTGAGTGGCAGACGTTTTCTTTAGTCGGCAGAAACTTTCAGCGTCTCATTAGACAAGGAAAAAGGAAGGAAGTAGTATAATTAATGATTTTCGATAATTTGGCTATTATTGATAAAACGTCTCTGGAAAATTGTCATCGAGATAATGACCTCCTCGTATTCGTAATAATGTTGGAATTTATATCATTTTCATCGATGTAAGTCGAGTTAATGGAACGATTAATTTTTTGTAAATTGTTTCACGCAAATTGGTGACCAATTTTATAATCAATTCTGCAACAATTTTTAATAACTATGTTTTCAATATATATTATTTATTTTTGTAAAAATCACCAATTATCAAATTAAAAGAGTCGATTAATTATAATTTCGCAAAACTACGGAACTAAAAAGCCGTAAAATGTATTATTATTTTTTATGGAAACAGTTCAAATTTACACACTCGCTCGTTACGTCGTATTATGAATATTGCGCGCATACCGACGCCGTGAGCGTAATGCCAAGGTAAGAAGCAGAAGAGAAGAAGAAGAAGCCCGTCGTTATTAAGCAAATTATGTCTTAAAATTATCTCTTTTAACGAGCGTATGTTGCTCGGCTCGCCATTAATGTAAACAGCGTGTCACGTGATAAAAACTCGTTTAACTTTAATTCGCCAAAGGATAAAAGGCGGCTACTCTTTTCGAGCGAGTCCGATAAAAACACGTATCGAAAGTGATAAACTTGGTAATTTCGTTGCTTTAATCATTTATGAAATTCATGTACAAGCTGCAACACTCGGTAACTTTATATTACCGTAAAAATTGACTAAGCCAGATGTCTCCGAATCACAGATGTAATTTTGCCATTATTAGAATGAAATTGTGATGTTTCAAGACAAGTTCAAGGGGTGGGTGGAAAAAGCTCGAGGAAAAGATATCAGGGGTAATGGCGACAAGCGCGCGAGTTTTGACATCCGCGACGGCAAAGTTCGTTTCTCTCTCGCGCGCGCTTCGTATCTTAACTAAAGCAGCTCACATATATCGCTCGCGCGCACCATCTACTTTTGCAGCACAAATTGCACAGGTTTTAATAATAATAACAGTCAAAAGCTAGAGATGTGCGTGCGCGTGTGTGTGTATATCAACCGTATCTAATGCCGTAGACAAAGAAATTTTAAATGTAATTAAGCCGGGGCGCAACGTAAAGTTACACGCGCCAACCATCGGAGTCTGTTCTGCAGCTGCAGCGCATTATACTTTTGCAGCGTTGTTGGCTGCGGAGGAAAATTAACATAAACGAGAAATGAGAAATTTAAAAGCTCACCCGGTGCAAGATGAAACTTCTTCAGCATTTTGTTAAGATGCTACGCGCGGGGATTTTTGAAATAAATTAACGTTTACGCAGAAAACGTGTTTAGCGAGGTATCGCGTTCTGGATGATAAGAATGTTTTAACGCGATCACGTTTTAAAATAGTCAAGGTAGAAAATTTTTTGAAGAAAAAACTTGATGTTAGAAACACGACGTCTAATTTTAACATCTACATTTTTTCTATTATACATTGGTTAATCATTCCATGGAATCAAAAAAAGGTTTCACATAGAGTCATATTGTTCTAGAGCTAAATTTTTAATCATATTGGCAAGAATTGTGAAAACATTCCCAACAGTAATAACTAATTATCCGACATAAAATATTTCTAGACGATTATTTTACATTTGTATTTTTTCCAGTCACGCGAGACTCTGTAAACACTAGAGCGACGAGAGAGAGAGAGTTGCATTTTTTTTTTATTATCGTCACAGAGCATCTATTACATTAACGATGTGTACCATACTGTCGTGTGAACCTCGTGTATATACACTTACCTAATGGATGTGTCACACAATAACATTTGAAACGTCATATTTTACTCTGGAAAAACTCATTGCATTGCACGATGCGCGACAAGTTTCGAAGCGAAAAACTTGGATGCACAATATATAATATAATACATATAAATGCGTCAAAGATAAAGCACGCATCGCATTTTTACGCGTGGGCGCGCGCTCAACACGATAGTGCGCAATCTGTAAAATTATCAAACTATGTCGCAAATATATAAATTCGTCTTTTTTATCTGCGGGTTTCTATCAAGGACTGTTTTGCGCAATCGGAGGTTTTTGTATATTTTTAAAGTAAAATACCGCGATATCGCGTGTAACGCATTAGATCTAGCCGAGGTGTGTACACACGAAGAAACGACCCCTGCCGCGGTATTAGATTCAATTTTCGAGGCTGCGTTACCGAATCAAACGGCACCAAATGTGCAAATATCATCAAAATCACAGCGAGTTTACATTATATGCATCGTATTTTGAAACGCTGCATGGCTTTTCATATTTCAAGACATAAATTTAGTCTTATCTCGCATTTCGTAGGATTTCCTTTCGCGCATATGCAACAAAGTAATCGTACGATCGATCAACGCAGTTTCCTGTTCGTAAGTACGGTACTATATTGCAGAACATTTAGAGAAATATTTTCAGGACGATGTGAGGCCATGGAATATAATAAATTGGAACGCATTTTTCATATGTCATCTCGTTCATAGTTGGTAGTTTACGATGAATTTTACAGTATTATTTTTCCACTTGAAAATTGGTTTTTAAAATTCATCGAGTTTAGACTTGAAAATTCAAGTTTCGGGCCACTATGTATATAATAAATTTATTTTCAGTTGCACGTACCGCATTATACACGACTATATTCTCGCGAGCTTTTTCTCGCTCCGGAGCAACAGCAGCGCAGGAAGTCCTGCCGGCAGAGTTAGTATATATATACGTGCCCGTAACGCACGAGTGCTAGAGCGCGAATATCATATTAAACTAAATACTCGCGCGCTTCGAACGTCATTTTACGCTCGTCCCTGCCTCGGCATTCAATATTCGAATGTAATAATAAAAAAAAAGGGATCTTCTTCCTTTCAACGACGGTATAATAATATGCACACACACAGAGCGTTGTGTTCGTCACGCGCGTTTTTACGGTCGCCCAGCAGAAATCGGCTTTTGTGTTGACGTATATAACACGAGAGGGGAGGGTTATATTATTACGTGACGTATTATAATTGACAGATACAAGCACGTGGCGAACTAACGCGCGTCCTCCTACGTCGTCGGACAAAAGCTCGCGCGGATGAGGTTTAGCTGCTATATACGCGATATCGACCTAGACGCCTGTCGTTCGTCGTTCGTCGCCTCTTTTGTCGTTGGCCGCACGCAGTATTTGTCAATTATATACGGTTATGTATACGAGCCCACCGGCTTACTCGTCTCGTTGTTTGCTGCCGAGAGAATAACATTTCTTTCGCTATGCCATAACCATCAGCGTGAAACGCAGTACGAGGGGCTTTCCGCGTGTGTTTGTATACCATCTAACGAACTCGATCTTCTTCAAATTTATCTTTCAGCGCCCGAGTATATAGCGACTATAATGAGGTACCGAAAGCTGCGTTTCGGCGGCGTGCATCAAACATCTGTACCGCTGTACGCGTCGCAATTTAATCATTTTTCGTTTTTTTCTCTCTCGTCCAGTTTTGCCATGCGTATACATTCCTCGCGCAGCTTTTGTATCTCTCTCGGCTCTATATACGCACACACGCACCGAAGCTTTACTTTTTCAATGGAAAAGTTGCCTTTTCTTCTTTTTGCCGCGTAAACTCGATGCGACAGTACGAACGCGAGTACGTACGAATATAATGGAGTTTTGAAAAATTGTACGTGCCGCTTGTTTGTTGGTGGATATGCGCGCCCATATTTCCCTGGAATTCTCTACACGCGCGAGATCGACAGCTTTTTTATTCGCGATTCGCTGTATTGATATCGAAAAGTCAAATTTAAAATGTAATTAGCGCACGGTAAGTACACGATATCTCTCGCGTACACTTTTGACACCTGTCAACTCCATGCCCGCATTTTATAAAGCCTCGAACGTAATATTTATTAATGAGTCCGATGATCCTTCAAAGCCACTTGGCGGCACTGATGAAAATAATTAGGGTAACGCGGCTAGAGTTCGACCTGGACCTTTTTAATTTATAATATCGCGGTGGAGTCTGTCAATTTATATAAATATCTCTGCGGCCACCACCACCGTCAGTGTCGGAAGTCGATGATAGATATTACTTATATCGACTAATGGGCTCCGCTCGCGTACAGTGGTTAAATGTCGGGCTCTTTTTCGCATATAATATAACACACGCGAGTGTAAAATATACGATGAACGTAATAATTTTAATGATAGGACGTTTAACACGGCGTCGGATTGGTGTACGTGTATTATTATTATAATGTATGTATGTATATTATATGTATGTGTGTGTGTACGTACGTGTGTTCCACAGGGCTATGTAAGGCTTTTTTCTTTTCAAACGATTAAGATCCATTATAGGTCTTGCAGTTTTTAACATAATTCATTCAACTTCACGTGTTTTACCGGCGCAGTTTACGTGCGCGCTCTGTTTTTTTCTTTTTTACTTTTCTTCTTCCTTTTGCAGCCGCACGGTCCGATCGTAAAGTATATTTGTGTATACGTGTGTGTGTATGTGAGGCTAAAGCATGATCTAAAAATAAGAAGCAGAATTTATTTTGCGATGCTGGGTTTTTTAACAAAATATACGCGATGGAAATGGGAAATTATGAAAAAAAAAGTGAATTAAATAAAAATAAATGGTCACTTAGGTTCATTTTTCATAAACGCGTAGACAAATTATTAATGCGCAACAGATATATATATACGAATAGGCTCTCGGAGAAAAAAGTCGGCTATTATACACGAGCTTTTCCTCTCTCTCTCGCTGACCCCGCGCGCGCTCGCAGCCACAAGAGAGCAACGAAGGAGTAGAGTAGGTAGTATCATTCACCTCTCTCGCGACCCATTGCGCTGCTGCACTCACACGGCTCGCGAAAATGTGCAACGCAAAATATAAAAAGAAAAGAACAGAAAAAAAAAATGGAAATGGACGCGGAGCACACCCACGTGCATCACGAGTGTGGCAGTGGTCGCCGCGGCGGGTTGTGTGTGTACCGCGTCAGGGAGTGCGTGTGCATGCATAAAAGAACGAGGAGAAGAGTAGCACACATATGAGCAAATCCAGAATTTTTCTTCCATTTCGCGGGCTCGAATCAACACAACGGTGGATCAATGAAATATTTTGGAAAAAAATACAAAAAGTTAATTTTAATGTAAAATTTTTCGCTCTTTTCGAATATGTCATAAAAATGGGGGTTCTCGTTAGAAAAACCGATTTTTTTGGATCGCTGGAGCTTCAAGGTTACGTCGAAGGTCTAATTCAAGGTCACCGTTGGGTTCCTCGGCGAAAAATACATTGGGTATAGGGTTTTTGGAATTTCTTTTTACGCTTATTTTGCGATAATCACCAGTGCTTTTATACTTTCACCATGCTAAATCGTGATTTTTCATGTATGCGTTGCACAAAAATGCATATAGAAAAATCCACTATCGAAATTTTTCGTGTTCGTCCTTTTTTTCATGTTTCTAGGATCCCAAAGAACGCTTTCCCGTGACCCCTACTCGCGTACCACGAAAAATTTTTCGGTGTTTATTCGAGCGCGTGAAATGGAAGAAAAATTCTGGATTTGCTCATATATAGGCTCAAAGAAAGGGACGGACGCAGAGAGTGCAGCAGCAGCAGCTCAGCTCTTTAAAGCTGCTGCACACATGCACAGACGAGCGTGGAAAATAAAAGGGTGTGTGTGTGCGCGCAAAGCCTAAACTCGCTACTCTCAGCTCACTGAGGCTCTCGGTTATATTATACGCTATACGTCGTTTTTTCTCTCTCTCTCTCTCTCACCCGACTCGACTCGAAGGCTTTTTTAGCCTTTTCTTTTTTTCTTTCGTAACAGCTCGGATGTATATTGTATATGTGTGTGTGTGTGTGTGTGTGTGTGTGTGTGTGTGTATAATATGGGTGCGACACGCGCTCGACCATGTGTAGCTTTGCAGCAGCAGTGGCAGTCAGTGACAAAATGTATGAGTATCGTGAAAGCTCAGCGATAGAGCCATAAGTCGACTTGCAAGAGTCGCTGCGGCTGCTGCTCTCGGAACTGCGGATTTCAAAATTCATAGCCAGTTCGGCCGTAATAGTCCTCGACTACGACGGCGACGACGACCGTTCGCGTATACACATTTAACGTGTACGTATCTCGAAGAAATTCGTGATTTTCTTGGTCCATTTAACTCGGGTTTACGTGTACGAAAATCGATGCTTTAAATGCCCTCCGTGTCGTGCTTACAGGAAAATTATACACACACGAACATATGATACGATACATTAATAATATATTACCTCAAGCTAGCATATATAGCAAATTCTATACCCCGTCGCTTGCGGGAACGGTCCTCCCAAGCGAAGCGACATCTAGTGTCGAGTCGCCACAGCAACGGACAATTGTCCGCACCGAAGATTCGCCGCATTATTGCGAGACCGAGTTTGTTTGTAAACCACTCGCAATCGTCTATAAACATGCGTACACTCATCATAGCTACCGTGCATACGTAATATTGTAGCGGATCTCGTGGGTCGAGTGTCATGTGTTTGTGCGATCGGCACGCATATAAGTGCTCCGCGAATTCACTCGACTGTTTAGCCTACATGAAGTCCCCCGGAGTAGTAGGTATATATACACGACGCGTTTCCCTCGTTTGCTTCGTTTTTTTCCCCCTCACTGTTTTCTCTTCCTCTTTTAGCGAAGACCTGCAGCAGCAGCAGCAACAGCGACGAGTGCCTCTCTCTATCTACCTGCGAAGCGCGAGGAATTAAGAACGGGGGAGCAATGCTATATCTGTAAGACGCGGAAGCCGAGAGCCCCGCTGCTGTCGTCGACGCGGGGAATTTACTCTCGCGCGAGAGAGGAAAGCAGCGGCGTAGTCGTCGTCGCAAATGCCAATTCGAAAGCCAATAATCAAGAATAAATTCCAGGGGGTGCAACGAGGACGTCGTCGTCGTCTTGGTCCCTCCCGACGATTCGATCGCGGCGAATCGGGGAAAAGGTTTGTCGCGCAGCGGTAAAACAATTACAGGTACGAACGCAACGGCTGCACCGGTAATAATTTGTCTCTCTCTCTCATGGCGCTGAATCGCTCATCGAGCGCGACGACGTTTACCTGTATAGAGAGATCGGTCGGATGCAAGAATATACGGGGAAGTCGAAGGTAGTAGTCGCGGCGGCGACCCCATAATGTAATAAACCTCTAGCGCAGGCCGCCATAGCGGAACAAATATCGGCATTGCGACATTCTCGCGGCGGCAGCAGCTCGATAAGGAACTTGAATGCGCAGTATTACGCGCCGGTATAGTAGCTATACACGAGAGAAGGCGTGTGCATATTAACTGCCGGCGTCTTGCAAGTTTGTCGCACGCGATATAGAAAACTCCAAGAAACTACTGCTGCTACTTCTAGGGATGGGGG